ATAGGACATTGATGATGTAATTTGATCTGAAATATTTGAAACGCGATTAATAATCACAAATGAAGCACGAAGAACAATTTTTGTCTTCTTTAAGCGACCTTTAGGAGGAGATACATAGGTGCACAGAGGGATCCAGATTCCCAGTTCTAAGATCAACATTGTCATGTACGTTATCAATGCTTTGTTGAAGTCTTGTTCTCGTGAATCTGCAAGAAAATAAAATAATATATAAATAAGCATAAAACTTACTACCTTTAGTTTTTAATATAAGAGCTCATTTGATTTTTATTTAGATTCTAAATATAGAATCTCAATTACTTTGTTTCTCATATTTATCTATTTTTCTAAGGTAATCCTTATAATAGTGGTAGTTCTAGCCAATATATTTGACTAGTAAGGATATTTTAGGAAAAACAACACATATTATTACAAATAACTAATTTAATTAGTTTTTTTAATCTACTTAAATTACTCAACTTGCTCTTATATTAAGGACTGGAAGTAATATAAAATTAAAAAAATATAAATAGCCTACATTTACAGATTAAGTTCAATGATTTTGAATAATAAATCAAAGGATAAATTCAATAATTACCAATACAAGGAAAGCCGAAAGTGGCAAGACCGAGCGATAGCATCATTGGCGCCCATCCGACAACAATGATCCAGTTGTATGCACTGTAAAATGAATACACAGAAGGTTGGCAAAAAAAAAAAAAAAGAATACACAAAAGGTATAGATTATAAGAATGTTCTTTTTTTTGGGGGGGGGAGTTGATCTAAAATATCACATAACTTATTTGCTCACGTAAGTAAAAAAAAAACAATTTCCTTTATTTCTGCTATAGTTTTAGGAACTTGTGCAGGACAAAAAAAACTATTTGATTGACTTATTTAAAAATTATTTATTATTTTTGTTTTTATTTAGAATGTTTGGATGGAAAGCAAATTATAATTTTAAAAATAATTTTACGACATACAAATAAACATATGAAAAGAATTTTATCTTGATTTAAATGAAAATATTTTTAAAAATAATTTTTTATTCAACCAAAAACCCTGTCATTTTAGATGAAATTATAATTTGGAAACAAAATTTTTTTATATTATTAAATAAACCGTAACTTTTGTTGCCAAAGACAAAAAAAAAAAAAAAAAGAACCTTCGGCCATCTCTGTGTTTGACCCTTGAGGTTCTCTTTTCTATGGAAACAATTGCATTAGAAAGGTTTGACTTTCCATCCAGTCTTCCTTCAAGGAATAGATATAATAAAAAATTCAAATAAACATTTATGCGTTAAAAGGAATACTCCTATAGTCCTATTTATAAGGTACTTCCAATATGTTTTATACAGACTAAAGAAAACTTTAAACTTCATTAACTCTCATTTAAAATTTAATGACTTTTCAACTTTATCTCTATTTAATATACATTATGCCTCATATAAATAAAATCAACACAACAATAAATAAAGGGTAAAATTATATATCCATGCAAAAAATTTCTCTAAGTGCTTTATAAATAGGACTAAAAAATATTTTCTCTCTCTGTCTTATAAATAGAATCAGAGGGGTAAGCCACAGTTTGAAAAGATAAAAAAAAACTTTCGCAACCCGAGAATTGGCCGGGGGGGGGGGGGAGGGCGACTAGCTGTCACCATAAAATAGATCGTATTCAGGGGGATCGTATTCATTTTTGTCTTTTTCTAAGCTCCAATTAAATACCCTGGCGAGAAAAACTTCAATTAAACACAGTTCGGATGCCAATGAAATCTGAGAAATGTGGTGTACTGCTTCCTATGTAAAATACTTCAAATAACTAGTTCAGATGAGAAATAATTAATTAAAAATAATAAATAAGTTATAAATATATTTTTGTTTTTAAATATGCTCTTATAATAATGAATAAAAAAGCAGATGACAGAGAATACATGGAAAAATGTTATAAGAGAAAAATAATTGAGGACAATATTAAAAAATATGTATTAAATGTTGAGACAATTCCAAATTAAAACTTATAAAATAAAACACATCATTTCTCAAATTTAAAGTTTATAAATAAGATCGAGGAGGTATTAATATACATATTTATTATCTTTAACTATTTAGTTCTGCCTTTATGTACTTGAGTTGTTTTTTATCATTAAATATTTGGACTATATTTATATTCATTATGTCAAATTCTCTCATCACACATGATCATGTGTTTTATTTTTAAAATATTAGTATTTAATAACATTTAAAAATAAACCCAAATAAAAAAAAAAAACTTAGCCGTATATGATCAGAAAATTTGACATAATAAATATAAGTAATTTGACCTAAATATTTTTTAAATCCTAAATATTTAGCTATTTACAAAGTGTGAGAAAGAGAACGTACAGCTAACAGCCATAGCCATTTCACTGCTCCTTATACAAGATTAATACTATTCTTATCCTTAATATAAACTTATTTATTTAATTAAATTAAATTAAGAAAGTTAGATAAATTAGTTAATTATAAGAAATACGACATATTTTTTTTAAAATATCATAATAATCTTTTTTAATATCTCTCTTATTTTTCTAGATTATGAAAAAATTAATAAATATACAAATTAACGTGACTTGTAAACGGTGATAAATATACATAGCCGAAAGTGGAATCAGAAACAATACCTCGGAAGATGGAAAACCAAGCTTTCTGTATGGATGTTGTCGTCGGTGGCGGCGGCGTTGTTGTTGATGATCTGCAACTGCACATCCGCCGTCGGCGCCGGAAGATGATGAGTCGAGAATGGGTCTGAGAGAGAATCATAATGGCAAGCGCAAGGGCAACCAGATAGATTGCTTGGTGATCGGTTTTGATTTCAGACGCTGCTTGCTGAAGAATGAAGGCCTTAAATAGAACGCCTGATTTTTTTTTTTTTTATCTGAGAAATAGAACGCCTGATGAACGCAAAGGCCAAGACCAAGTCAGAAAGACAGAAGCCACAAAGTGCTAATGATTCTCACCCTCCAAGTGAGAAAGACCAAGTTCCCAGTTCCCAGTTCCCACTTCCCAGTTCCCACTTCCCACTTCCCAGACACGTGGGTGCTGTCAAAACGTACCCCAACCGTATCCTCTTCTCTAATCCTCACCCTCCATTCCATCTACGGCTAATGATTCCCTCAAAAAACAGGAAAGGGTCCAGGTCCCTTTTTATCCCATGGCGAAAGAGCTTTTTCCCCGTTCCACAAAAGCACTAAACAAAACACATTCGAAAGAAAATTGTTCTCAGTGTCGTAAGATCATTCTTAGAATGATGATTTGGTCTTATCCACGTACTTCTAAAATAAAAAAATAGGAAAGAAGGAAAGCTTTTTTCTTCGGCCACTCGTACTCTGAATTTTGTCCAAGTTTGGATTGTGCATCTCTATTGATATAAGAGTTAGTTTAACATTTAATTTAGTTTTAAATATAAGATTTCAATTCATTTTGTTTTTTATATTTATTTATTTTTTTAAGGTAGTCATTATAGTAGTTGTGGATACTAAAGGTTTTATCAAATAATAATCCAGCCAATACATATGATTAATAAGAATATTTTATAAAAGATAATATCTATTTATTACAAATAATTTATTTAATTAATTTTTTAATCTATTTAAATTAATCAATTAATTCTTATGTTGAAACTCAGGTATAATATATTTTAGGGCTAAGGTATGCCCAGCACCTTGAACTATTTACCCAGGTGCGTCCAGTGGCCTAAAGTAATTTTGGATGCATACAGTATCCTAAACTAATTAAAATGGTGCGTCCATATCCCAGGCTAACAGAAATGTTATGTTTAACTGTTACTTTCTTGACTCAGCTTAAAGTTGATCCCAGATATTCTAAATGGTAGACATATGGACATTTGAAATAGGAATGACCTATAGTTTATGTAATTTTCCCATGGCGCGGTTGGCAACGAAACAACATTTAAAAAAAGGTGTGTTGCCTTTTTAAGATGCTCATCTAGTAAATAAAAATCTCTTGGGACTATGTAATCAATACAGATAATTTGAATAAAAATTTATAAATTCAAGATCAGAAAAAATATAAATTTATAAATTTAAAAAATAAAATAATTTAAAATTTTATATTTAAAACAAAAAACTCATTACTTAATTCTTATATCTAGAATCGAATAACATTGATTTGTGCTTAAAAATTAGAAAATTTCAAGAGACAATAAAAAAAACCCAAAATATGATAAAAAGAATTATTTTCAACACATTAAAACAAGCCATAAGTCTATTCATTTATTTTTTAGTGCGGATAAAAATCAAATCATAATTTTAAAAACGATTTTACTAGGTTCAAAGTACATATGTGAGATACAAAAATGCTTAGAATTAAAAATGAGCTACGTTGGATCCGCACTCCGCAGCGCAGGAAAAGCCCTAAAACATTCGAATTATATATATATATATATATATATATATATATAAACCTCAAAATATTATCAATAAATGATCTTAATTATGCAATCCAGATAAAGCACCCTAAAACATTGTCACAACATAAGGTGGGGCTCCGATCACGTTGTGCGTGTGTGTGTGGTTTTTTTTTTTTTTGAAAATGTGTAGCCTCGTTCAGCATAGTTGATGAAAACAAAGCACATTACCAAAGAAAACAACTTTTTTAAAAGGAAGATTAACTAAATCCCTAAAAGGGGGAAGATATACATACATACATATATATATATATATATATATATTTCATTGGTCTCCCATTATAAAAGGTTAATAAAAGGGTATAAAATGTGAAGCATTTCTTCGTGCTTAATTTCATTTTTGTTTTGGTCTGTTGATGTGTGTCTTTTTTAAGCAACGTTTATGGATTGTCTATATAATCCACAAAGAGAGTATAGTAACTGAATGATCTCATTAGGGAACTGTGGAATAGCTTGTTCAGTAATAGAAGGAATTATTCAGCAAAACTGTGTCTCTGGTGGAGACGTGGTTGCTTGATCTTCCCTCGCCTCCGCAGATGCTAGTGGTTACTTCTTTCACTTTTGTAAGGGGTGCATGTTTCTCATTTGTATCTAAAAGCTTCTCCAATGGGGAAATGAGAAAGCACCGTGTTGATAAACCATGTGCTTAGTTTGAGCCAAGAGAACAAGACTGGAGCTAGAAGGGAAAAACACTCAAAACAAATATTATATTTAGGGTTGAATATACTTCTTCGGTTCTAATGGGTCCCATATTAAGGATTGAAGAGAGTAGCATATTTTGTTTCGTTTTCAGAAATAGTAGTTTCTTCAATTCATGCCACTTATGACAGCATTTTACTCTCATAAATTACACAGTTTTTTTTTTCCTTTAATGTTCGACCTTTTATGTCGACCTATAGTTTATGTGGAATGCGATTATGAAACGATCTTTGAGACAAGTAGGATTTGATTTAGGTTGATTAATGTCTATATTAATCTGTTGTGACTATTATTATATACTTTGTAATTCGGGAAAATCAAGAGTATAATTATCAATATGAATATCCCCATCTAATTTGGAACATAGAAGCGGATACGGACCAGGAACAAACAACTCAATAACATCATTAATTATTAAAGCAAATGATTTCCGTGAGAGACGCTAAATATTCATTCAACATTAAGACCATAAGTGCCGATGTATTAGAAACAACTCAACGACATTAAAAGCTATTAAAGCAAAAGCAAAGTTATCAGCCCAGAGATTTGGTTTGAACTGTGTGGAGAACAAGTTCATGACAATAAAAGTGCTCATTACTTAAGTTATTGGAGGGAAAACACGAGAGTGTGGAGATATTACATATTCCTGAACATACTTTTTAGGATTAGTGGGGTCAGGAATCCAATGAATCTCACTCAAGTTTGGTGTCTCAACAAAGGCCATAGTAAACTCTCCTACCTTCTCTACTTTCCCTCTCTTGCCTGCCCTTAGTACAAGATTACTACGGTGGTAAGAGAAAATACCATTGGCCAAATGGATGATGTCGCCTGGCTCGAAAACGTCACACTCATCGCCCCAGAACTGATAGTGAACTGCTGCAGTCTCATCAGCTACAAGTGCCAAGCATGTCTTATTTTGCCCTTCTAATGTTGTCCTTCCTTTCTCCAAAAGTATACATTTTGCATCTATGTTGTTCCGTGCTGCAGGCACTATCTCTTTGAGAAGCAGCATCAATGCTTCCTTGCTGCAAGAACTTGAAGGAAAATAACTTCATTAGCGGACATGAAAAAGAGACAGAGATTATGTTTCAGAGTATATAACCTTACCATGGGCACCTCAGCAATAGAAAACCAGGATAACTTATAATTGCATACAGACAGTACATCGACACAATCACATGTTAGGTATTGTAACAGTTGAGTAGCAGTTGATAAAGCCAGCATTGTGTTTGGATGAAATGAGATGGAAATTAAAATACGTTAACTCAATCTACACAGCTTATAAAATTACTTGTTACAATACTTCATTAGCCAAAATTCTAACAACGGAACTTTTCTTCAATTATCATGAAACAATAATTGAAGCCAGAGCAAAGATCAACGGCAGAAAAACCAAATCTATTTGTCTATAAAAACCTTGTTACATCCACATCTGCAAACTTAAAACCTCACTTCAAGACCTCACTGATTCAACTGGCCACTATTTCAATGTTCCATGTCAAATTTACATAATGTAATTAACGGGGAATCAATTTATGCTCGAGAGATTTATACTCCAATACATATAGTGTATCTGTGTTTGACAAGTCAGAGAGACATTGATGCTCGATATATGCCTGCCTAACTCCAGGCCATTAAACATGCCCCCATAATTTACAGCTTGAACCAGCTATGCTTGAATCTTATCATCTTAACCATTCTGCGACGTTTGACAAGGACTTTATATTGGTAATCCGTAAAATTAAAACAAACTCGTTCGATTAAAAGTTTGCATCATTACACGCAAAATACCATCTAAAATATTTTCGTCTAATCCCAAATCAACATGCAGCAAGGAATTCAAACTAAATTAATTTCGCATGAATCGATATTAGAGACCTGAGTGTGAAGTGTCTAACCTTCTTCGACGACGCCGCGATTCCGACGTTTCCAAGGAGTTCTTGATGCAGGGAATCGTCGGTCGTGATAGAATCAGCTGAACAAGTGAGGCTCAAGCATTCGGTAACTAGGATGAGGATTCAATTACTGAAATCTTTCAGTATGGAGCAGTGGAGATGTCTAGCCGGAGACGGAGACGGCGACCGCGAAGCGGTGAGGGATACCATCGTACTGCAGCTGCAGTGTATCATCGTCCCTTCTCGCCGATCACCGAACCCCGTGATTGTGGACGCCGAGTTGCTCTACCCCAGACGCTTTACTGAAAGAGATTGCTCAAAGCGCCTTTCAAATCGACCCAAGAGTTTTTTTTTTTGTCGGTTTTTTCATTCTGGCCAAACAGGAAACAAGCTAAATAGGTCAGACTTTTTCCTGGATGACTCCTAAAATTTTGAAAGGCAAAAATGAAAAATCATTGAATACTTTTACAGATTATGTTTAAGGAAGCGTTTAAATGAAAAGTTTGATTTTAAAAATAATTTTATAATATACAAAATAAATATATGAAGGAATTTATTTTGATTTGTAAAAAAAAATATTCTTAAAAAGTACTTTAGAGATATCTAAACGGGAAAATCCCAAAAAAGTGACTACTGAATTTCAAAATGTCAAATTAAGAATTACTACAAAAATGAGTTGTCATTTGCTCTTTGAATGTAGTCATTTTCTTTATAAGTATAGTAACGAATACTGATTTAGAATTTTGAAATTCAATAGTCATTTTTTTGGGATTTTTCCTATCTAAACACTCCTAAATCAAAAAAGTCTTTTGAAAAATTCCTTATGGAGTAATATTGGAGAGTTATGTGATGTATATTATTTCTGCTATTATACTATGATTTGACAATGGAGCTTGATCATTTAGAAAAAGTTTGGCAATAGTGCATTGCTTTATGTTAACGAGGCTGGTTCTGGGGTTAGAAAACAACAGTGAGACTGAGACTGTTATAAAGTAAAAAATTTAAATTCAAAATTATTGGATGGTTAATTTCTTCAGACCTCTTAAATTCTTCATGTATTTAAGTAATTTTATCTTTTTAAAATTCTTAAGCATCGCTTGGTCTCACACCGCTTCCTAATTAATAAGTAATACGCAGATATATGAGGTCTAGATATTCCAACTTCATATATTTAAGTAATTTTATCTTTTTGGCCTCTGCTTTGTTTTGGTTGGGTTGAATTGCATACAACTTCCTAACAAGTAATACATAAATTAGTGAATTAGACATGATATAAAGTGTCAAGAATTAAATTCATATTGATAATGATATTGGAAAAGAAGCAATAATTTAACAGATTTTAATCAAACCATGCAAAGCTGAACAAAATAAATGCCATCATTTTGGTTGTATTCTAGGTTTGTTGAGTGATACTACCTCCAGTTCTTAATATAATATCCTGTTTAATTTTTTATTTGGTCCTAATTATAAAACCCTAATCCATTTTGTTTCTTATATTTATGTATTTTTTTCCAAGATAGTCCTTATTTATTACAAATAACTAACTTAACTTACTTCCTTAATTTCCTCAAATAAGTCAACTGGGTCTTATAATTAGAACCGGAGGTAGTATATTGTAAGTCTAGTATTTATGAGTTTTTTTTTCTTTTCACCCTTGAAGTGGCTATTACTGCGTGTAGTTTTTATTATTATTATCATTATTAATAAAATTGACTTCTTTGGGGCCAGAACAAAATTATTTATCATAAAAACATGATACAACAGGGTTTAAAGTTAACCCTCGATCTTCTAAGCCATCTCTTTGTTACGAACCACCCTAATAATGAAGTCAATCAAATCTATCACATCCCTCAGAGCAGCAAAGAGTGGAATATGAAGAAAACTTCTCTTGATTATGAGCTGGAACACTGATATATTCAGAGTAGTTGCAGAGAGCACTGCGTTGCATCCAAGTGGAAGGTGTTCCCATTTAAGGCCGCCTCTCGTCTCAGCATCAATGTCGAGCCAACACAAAGCAGAAATTATGAAAAAACTCACAACTCCGCAAAATAGGTTGATGAATATAAATGCTTTACCATAATTTAAATAGGAGATTGATGATGTAATTTGTTCTGAAATATTTGAAACATGATTAAAAATCACAAATGAAGCACGAAGAACAATTTTTGTCTTCGTTAAACGACCTTCAGGAGGAGATATATACATGCACATAGGGATCCAGATTCCCAGTTCTAAGATCAACATTGTCATATACGTTATCAATGCTTTGTTGAAGTCTTGTTCTTGTGAATCTGCAAGAAAATAAAATAATATATAAGTAAGTATAAGAATTAAGATGTGCCCAACATTCTAAAAATAAATAAATATAAGGGTTAAGGTACGCTTAATATTTTAAAATATTTTTTCAAGTACACTCAATGTTCTAAAATGATTTACAGTACAATTTTACTTTTAAAGTATTTAAAATTGTGCACCCGTATCCAAACCGTTTATTTGACCGTCAACTTGTTTAGTCAGCTTTATTTTGACCAGAATAATCCCAGGTGGCATATGAGATAAGGTGCTGACGTGTCAAGGTTCTCCCTCGGCCCTCCTTCTCTCCCTCTTTCGATGGGCTTTTGAAATTATGAAGGCCCAAGATTCCTCGAAGAAATCAAGGGTTGTTCCACCTAATCTGAACCAAGATGTTCCAGAACCACCCACAAGATCTATTCTGATATCTTCGCCGTCCACCTTGTTCTTCTTGTTACCATTCCCCTTTCTTCTCAACAAGTGTTTTCTCCTCATAGCCACCACTGGGGGGCAACCCTATTCTCACCCAAAGTTCATCTCTTTCAAAGACTCCCTCACCCTCTCCGCCAGGAAGTTTGGCATCGCTGCCAGTTCCCTCATAGTAAACACGGCTTGATCGTAAGCTAAAGCCGCCGGCTTTGCACTATCGAAGGTCCATGGCTACATCCTTTTTCTGTGCCTAGTGGAAGATTGAGAAAGAGGCCTTTTTCTTTCTGCGGATCAGTCACCATTTCCACTTATCCATCTAACTCTACCCTCTTCGATCCTTCTTAACCAGATTTCAATTTTTTCTTTTTCATTTTAGTTCTTTCTTTGCTTTAGATTTACCGATACATATCTCCCGCATGAATTTCTAACTTTCTTCCTTGGCAGCACTTGCGTTGGAACTAAAATTTCTGCGGTAAATGTTGCCACTTCACAGAGCACTTGCGGCGAGCCCATCGAGAGAGGGAGAGGGAGAGGGAGAGGGTGTGCTGAGGAAGAAGGAGCACCAGTAAGAAAAGAAGATACTTGACACGTCAGCGGCTTATCTCATATGCCGCCTGGAATTATTCTGGTCAAAATAT